GAAGGATTTTGTATAACATTTAGATAGGCAGGACTCAGGAAATTCAAGTGGGCCTTCCACTCATTAATGCATTTACCGTTTGGCAGAATTATATGTCACATATACAATATCTGCATCTAAAATCTTCAGGGGGCTTCTTTTTCTTTTTTAAGCTTAGTCTATTTATATACTATTTATTTAAAGGCTTAGTCTATTTATATAATGTAGCAGCATGCCAGCCTACATTTAAATTTTTAGAATAGGGTTATTTTTCTCTCAAAATTAGTGCTCCCTACCTATTAAAGCTGAAGGTATTTTAACAGAACATAATTTAATAGAATAACAAGCCTTGGAAGGACCTTGGAGGTCTTCTAGCAGAGTTACTTTTTAAAATGACTTACAATGAAATTAAAATGTTTATATCCTGGCAATAAATACGTCTGGCAATGTACACTCAGGAAAAGAGATATCTTTCCTTCTAGAATAAGATATTATGCCTGCTTTAATCTTATGCACCTTTAAATCTACTGATTAAATGGTTTTATTTTGCTCAACAAGGCAAAACACTATCTTATCAGAGATAGAAATCAGAAAATGAGGACTCTCCTTCAACTGGGAAAATTAGAATCTTTGTAAAGAATGAAAGGGCAAAGCTTTGAGCTAAGGGAGTGGTTTGTATCACTTCAGATGTAAACAAGAAAATACAATTTAAGCCGAACTTTGTAGGAGGATGAATACCTTCATGAGAAGTAGATTGGCAATTTTCTACTTTTTAATAACAATCTTTACAGTAGTCCTCAACCCACTATGACAATTGAGCCCAAAATGTATTTTGTTAAGTGAGTTTTGCCCCATTTTATGCCATTTTTCGCCACATCTGTTAAGTAAATCATAGCAGTTGTTAAATTAGTAACACGGTTGTTAAGTGAATCTGGCTTCCCCATTGACTCTGCTTGTCAGAAGCTTGTAAAAGGTGATCATATGACACCGGGACACTTCAGTCATCATAAATATGAGTCAGTTATCAAGCATCTGAATGTAAATCATGTGATGATGGAGTTGCTACAATGGTCATAAGTGTGAAAAATGATCATAAATCACTTTTTCAGTGCTGTTGTAACTTAGAACAGTCATTAAATGAAATATTGTAAATCAGCATCTACATTACATAATGTAGCTCTCTTTAGTAACTCTCTTTAGTTTGAAATGCCAATTTACTACTTCAAGATTTAAATTTCTCCATTTTGCAGCTTGGAGTCAAAGACATAATCAAAATCAAAGTTTCAAACAACCACTTATGAATGTGGGTGTTGGACATTTGTTGACTTGTTTAATAAAAGTCCACGAACATCCTACATGTTGACTATTTATTGAATTTCTGAAGTTAAATATCCTTCTTTGAATCATCAAATGCTCCTCTCCCTACTTCTATTTGTAAAATGTAGTTTGTGACAACTTCTAAATAGAAGGAAAATTTTCCAGGGAGGAGGATCTTGCAAAATTTCTCTTCTAGTCCACCACTCTTCTGTTGGTGGAAGACTACTGGACTTGAGGACCTGCCAAAAAAGGACTATTTTTGTTTGTATCAGGCAGTCCATAACTTATGACCATTTGCTTAGCAACTATTTGAAGTTATCACAACATTGAAAAAGAAGTGACTTACCACCATTTCTCACGCTTATGACCAATGCAGTATCCCCCCCACAGCCACATGATTGAAACAGGTAAAGCTTCCAACAAGCAAAATCATTGAGGGAAGCCAGATTCACTTAATGATCAAATGATTCATTTAATAACTGCAGCTATTCACTTAACGACTGTGGCAAAAAAGGTTGTAAAATGGGGCAACATTCACTTAACAACTGTCTTGCTTAGCAGTGGAAATGCTTGCCTCAATTGTGGTTGTAAGTCAAGGACTATCTGTAGTTCTGACTGAATTTAAATAGCCATCATTTGTTTCTGCTGAAATTATATTACGTATCCTTGCCAAATATCTTTTCAATTGGAATTGGGACAAATTTTGTAAAATAAATAAATAATAAACTCTAAAAGAATATATAGACAAACAGAAAGAATACTTTGTGATTTTAGCTCTAAATATCTTGACAACTATGTAAAGGAGCCATACTATTGAGAGTTACTTATATGTAACACTGCTTACATAGAATAAATCCCACTGAAATATGTAGCATGGCAATGCACACTCAGAAAAGTTAACACTTTTAAGTAATATGCTTAAAGTTTAAATATTGGAAAAGCATAATTGTTAATTTATTTGCCATTAAAAAAAAAGCCAATTGAATTTCTAAAGCTTTCAAGACAATATCTTTATTTGTTTCAGAATGTTCTTGGATTATGTGACCATTTAGTTAATTTTCCTACACACAGAGTTCATATTCATATTTTGCAATCATTTTGTGTTGTTTACTGTTAAACATCTTAAGAACAAGGGATAAGTATCACTCATACAAATTAACTAATTATTGATTCAGGGTTAGGATTAATTTAACTGTAATAAAACTCTTCCTGTATGTACATTATTAAGAGTTTAGGTATAAAATTAATAGAAGTGGATTGAAGAAAGGAGAAGGAAAGCAGTGAGACCTAATACTTTTCATTCCTTCTATTCGAACTATTCCAATCACCTAGTTAATTCAAACCAAAAATAATTTCATAAAATTATATCATTAGAGAGGTTGCAATTGAACTATAGGTTCAATTATCTTAGGAAAATAAAAGAACACTGCTGCGTACAAGTTGTACCATGGAGTGAAATACTTGAAAATGACTATCACACCTGATCCTCAGGATATTCTACATACTGATTGAAATAACATTCAGTTTAAAACTTTTACTCAAGTGCCAAAACGTCTAGCTCACTTATCACTTATGAAGGTGTTCACTGACTATTCATGTGCTGATATCAGTGTAGCCCGACAATCAGCAGTGTGATCATTACCAGAACTTCAGTAGACCTCAGTACTATATCATTGCATATGTATCAGTGGCAGGAAAAGCGGCCTCTTTTTCAATCAAATATCACACATGCTTTCCTGGAACTTTCTATCACGAGATCCCAGAACTCAGCAACCTAACCAGGCTTGTCCCATTTCAGGATTTACCGATGCATATTCCCAAAATGAAAAGTTTTCACAGAAATGGAAATTTGTAATCTAGTCCTGTTCAAATTTGCTCCTCTTAATATTACATCGCAATTGTAAGTTTAAAAGGCTTTCTTAACATTCCCATCTAAGAATATATTTCCATCTTTAGAATTTATTCTTGCATTCCATTAACTGTGACACATGCCTTGTGGTCCAAGGAAGCAAAATTAAGCAAAACTACGGTATTTTATACTTTTCTCCCTCAGTATTTCGTGGACAAGACTAGCTGATCTAGAAAGCTAAGCAGCATTGATCACAGTTAATACTTGGCTAAAAATCATCTGGGAAGATCAAGTCAAAGGACTAATGCTAAGCATGCTCACAACCAGGCTAGGTTTCATAAACCAGAATTATTCAGAATGGAAAGGGGGATGGGCTAGGTCAGTGATGGCTAATCTTTTTGTCACCGTGTGCGCACGCCCACACCCATAATGCAATGCACATGCGACAGCCCTACAGCGCACCCCACCCTCTGTGCATGAGTGCATGACCCCCCCACTCCCCTCATCCCCACACCTTGTGCATGCATGCTCCCCCCCATCCCCACCCACCTGTGCCCTGTTTTGGGACTAGCAGATCTCCCTGAAGCCTCCTGGGACAAAAAACGGGCTGCTGGGGAGGGTGTGTGCCACAGCCCACCACTGCCCATTTTGGGCTTAGCAGGCCTCTTTGAAGCTTCCAGGGACCAAAAATGGGGCACAGGCTGTGCTCCCCCAACCCCGTGGATGTACTTCCCTTCCCCATAGATGCGTACTTGTCTCCCACATGTGCCCCACCCTCCGCATGCACGGCAGAGACCCAAAAATCAGCTGGCCAGTGGGAGGTATGCACATGTGCGGTGGAGCTGAGCACAGCCCTTAAGACCTGGCTCTCCCATCAGGTCTGGGGATAGGTTTCTAATTTACCCGCCCGAGTGTTGACTGTTGAATGCAATTTGTGTTTTTATTATTTTCTTTCTTTTGTTCACATATTGTTTGTCTTTGATANTAATAAAATAGCACAAGAATCCTAACTTAAAACAATACGTTTACATATACCTTTGCATACCATTTGTACTTGTCTCACAATGTCTTGATGGAAAAAATAATAATGAGAAGAAAGCTTCTTAGTGAAGCCACTTTAAATAAAGGAGCTTTTGGGGGGACAAAGCTTTGTAATTGAACTTATCCACATAACATTATAAGAAAAAATTGCTTGTTGAGATGCATCATCTTTCATTATTTTAATTAGGATGTTTTACCCCAGCTAACAAAAAGGCAAGCAAAAAGCTTGCAGCGGGGCTGAAGTGCTCTTTATAAGATAATTTTTCCAGCCCTTTTCTCCTTTTTGCTATTATTGCTGTTATAAAATGTGTAATTATTCATTAATAATACAATATGAATTTGTATTTTAGTTTGTTAATTAGTTTAGAAAGAGAAGGAAGAATTGTACATTTGTCCCATATGTTATATGGAGCTATTCTTCTATAGAGGCTATTTGTTTATACCTTATAGGATAGAAATGTCTAATATTAACCAAGTCTTGTTAGAATTGAGAACAGCAGTTACTGCTCTTTAAATATTGCAATATAACATTTTGTTGCAATTACATTTTTTTGCTTAGAATTTTATTCTATTAGTAGCGAATGATGAACATGACATTCATTTGTGCTATTGTATAAATACATTTCTGTCCCATGTTACTTGCTGTATCATAGTTCAATTCTTGTCAAAATATTTCAGCCAAACAACAACAAACATTTAAAGTTGCATATTTCTGCCTTGCAATGCTATTTTTTCAAATAATACATTTCTGTCTTGTATCTGCAGTGAAATATATTTCAAACTGAAAAATTTTAAGCGAGAGAGATCATCCTACCTGTCTGCATCACCGAGACCCAGTGAGGTGTTGCGTTGTAAAGTTTCCCTCACAGCAGCCATCCCATCAGGAAGTCTGTTTAATCTTCGTGTATAAAGGCCCAATCCACCATCAGTCATGTACCTGTAAATAATAATAACAATAATTCACTATTAGTGACATTTCAAAAGGCAACTTTACTTGGAACAGCTTACATTCCGCAACCGATATCTGTGACACCATCAAACATCCACATCTGCCTATCCCATGTCGATAGGAGGACAAAAATGCCAAATTCAGCCTGAACACCTCACTGACTGCAACAAATCAAAAGTTAAGCAGGCAAACGGATCAAAATAACATGTACAGATCTAAATTCTATGGATTTCTATGTACCATCTTTTTAAGCTAATTCTGGCATAAACTGCAACGTATTTTGATTAGTTAGTTTATATTCATTATATAAAAGTCTGAAAAATGAGAGCTTGGCAAAGATATATGCTATAAATTCTATCAGGAAATGCTAGTGCTAATTTGCTTACTGACTTAAAACTGACAATTTCCTTCAGAAATAAAGAGGTTAGATAAAACTTACGTCTAGTACTGTGGATGTATATAAACTGAATTGTTAAAGTTTCTGTGATTATCTGCTTCCATGAAGTACAATGTAAGTAAGGTAATTAAGGTGCAGCAAGCATTCCACTCATAGTTATAAAGTAACTAGCTTCCAAGTTACTATTATACCTCTTGTTTGAGCACCACATTCAGAGCCTCAGCTAATGCATACTTGAAGAACCAAGTGTCATCCCTAATGTTTTTAGCAATAAGCACAGAAAAAGACAGTAAACTCAGAACTGTTTGAAAGAATCATTTCCACATGAATGCTGAGTTACTTGGTTGTACTGATAGTATCTGCAGACTGTGATCTACAAGATACTTTGGATGTAAAGAATAGGTGTATGTATAGTATGGTGTTTATACGAGCCTGCTTTCCAGAATATATTCTAGCATGTAGAAGTTGACCATTCCTGGCCTAGAGAACACATCTCCCCAAATGCCACTGAATACAAACCACTCAGCTATACCCTAATTACTGCTTACTTCTAGCCATCAACAAGAAAGTTTCTAGGAACTTTCTTCAAAGAATTTAATCTCTTGTCTGCAGACAGCAGATAGGTATAGTTCTTCTACACCTATGAACAAATGAATAAAAATAATGCCTTTTATATGTTGGTGTACAAATATTTAACTCTCCCAATAATTGTTTTGAAGTACCCATTAGGATGAAACCAAGCCAATTTTAACAGAGAATGCTCTTACAGAACACTGATACTGGCTATAGTCCCACTGAATTCCAGAAGTATCAGGATATTAATGGTATTAGAGAGTAAAAGCCTCTTGGGAATTGTAAAAAAAGATCAGAAAATATGTACATCACATTGGCCTCAAAATCTACCACATACAGGATTGTCAAATCTGCTCTGCCAGAGTTTGATAATAGTAAACAAAATATGAAACCTATTGGTATTTTTAATTAGGCTATCCAGATTGGTTTGCTTATCATTGTATTTTGCTAATTTAATCTTTGCATTGTTTTAGCTGTTTTGTAATATTACAGAGAAACTGAATCTTTATAGAAATATTTGTCAGCCTGCTATTTTGACTCAATTACACACTCTGATCCAGGAAAGAGGAGGGGTGCGGAATTTAAAGGTCCCAAGAGGATAGAGCCAAAATTGGACGCGAAAGTAGTATGTCCCTATGTTTATGTGCATCTTATCTTGACTAATTTAGAGTGGAAACTCTATCTAAGCAAATTCTACTAATTGACCCTATGAATACAATTAATGAAAATCTTGGCAGGAATCCCAATCTAATTCATAAAAAATCCCATCCCAACATGTATCAGATTAAATATTACTGGTCCGTTCCTTGTTATAACTTTTTGTTGTAGTACAACTTCTCTAAAGCCAAATCAGATGCCCTTAATTATTGCAACTAGGCATGAATTTCTATGCAGTTACCTGTAGTTCCCTACCATAAATCCAGAATTACTGTTTATTTGTATGCTTTATTTTGTAACTTGCTGAGTGACTGAACAGGAAGAAATTAGAAAATTTTGGCAACCCAACTGGAATAGGCAAACACAAGAAGAAGAGCCAGGCATGGGGAGATTATTCATTGTTTGCTAAGGGTAATTCACTGCCAACTGCTGCTAACAATTTCCTGAATACAGGAAATAATTATTCCATTCTACTCTGCTCTAGCCAGATCTAGTTCTGGACACCACATTGAAGGACACCGTTCATTCAAAAAGAACAGTAACAATTGGAGCAAATTTAGAGGATGGCTACCAAGAAGATGAGGAGTCTGGAAAAAGCTATAAGGAAAAGTTAAGGCACTTAGCAGTGGTGGGTTTCGAAACCTGTTCCAACAGGTACAGTTGGAATGGGCCCGGTGTCGTCCAAATGGACGTGCACAGCGCGCACATGTGTCTTACCACTTCCAGGAACCTCCANAACCGACAGTAACGCTAGCAGCAACCCACCCCTGGCCACTAGACCAAACTGTTCAAACTTTACCTGTAACTTAGGATAATAAACATATCTTGTATTAAAGCAGTCCTGTAATTACTACAGTAAGTTTTCTAAGCTTGGATTTGACCAAAAATGGAAATTATACTGAACAAACTAACAATGTTAGAAGGGTCAACTAGTCCAAATGTGATACATTCCATTTCTTTGTCTTCATCTTGTTTGTGCATGCTCTGTCTGCCTCACTTCACCCTGCTCTCTTATAAATGCTACTCATCTGTTGCCAAGTGGTTTTTATTGGGGCTTTTCTAATGCAGGACCTTTTTGTAGGCCATGCCCTGTCTCATTTAGATAATCATTTGTTTTCCTCATGGAGAGATGCAAACCTTCCAAATGATGAACCAGGTTTCACAACTTCATGGTTATACTCATGCAATAATAATGATAAGCTCAAGCTAATTTTGGTTACTTGGCATACTCTCAACTATAAATAAATAAAGCTAAATTTAAAAAGGGGTTCAGATGCTAATTACTGTGAATGGCACGCATGCTTGCTCACACTAAAAGACAAATGAACCGTGGAGCTCAGCTGTTTTTGTGATGAACCCCATTAACCTAACAATCAGGCATTGAATTGATTTTCTACTTTCAGAGCTCTTGATCTGCTGGAGGAAGAAATGCATCTTGTACATGCTATGTGGAAGGACAATAAAATTAATAGCAAGAAATCTTCATTCTGTCTACAATGTACAAGCTAGGTTTTAGTTTGGACATGCAAGCTAGGCAGTTGGAAACATTACAGAAACTTCATTGCAAAAATATTAGCCAAAGATGTCTTCTTTTCTTTATTATGGTGCAATGCAGGTTCAGTCTTGAATTGTCTCTATCTTGGAGCATGCAACTTTATAAAGATTTAAAAGTGGCCTGTGTAGAATCTTTTTAAAAATGTGTAACCTGGTGCCATTTAGCTCTTTGCACTATGACTCAATGGTGGGTTGCAAATATTTTACTATTGGTTAGGGCACACTCCCACGTACACTTGCACAACGTTTTGTACATGCGCAGAAGCGTCCAGGAGGGTGGACGGGGCCTTTTGCCATCACTATTACCAGTTTGGCCGAACTGGGAGCAACCTACCACTGCTATGACTCCCATAAACCCAAAAGGTGCTAGAGGAGGTCTATGCCAAAATGTTTTGTTCAAGGGAGGGAAGCTTGAAGATTTATTTGTTTATCTAGAAAGCTCTGACTACAGTTGCTTTCAATTGGCAGCATGCTTTCCTACCTTCTTATGGTGGTAAATCAAAAACTGTTCAGAAAACTCAGTCTAGAATAGTCAAGTATTGTTAAAACATGAAAAAACATCACACTTCCCAATCCCAAGACATTAAAACACGCAGCCATGCAAAATGATGAGGCAGAAGCTAAGATATTGATATTGCCCACCTATGGTGGGCCTTAGGTTTTCCAAATATTTTAAAACATGCCCCTATGAAGGCTAAAAATGTCTATTCTTTCTCAAGAACATTTCCCCATAAATTGTATCTGAAACATTTTCTCTTTTCCTGATTTATTTTGATTAGGAGTGAGCAAAAAGTTCTCACATACTTTGCCCTGACTTCATTCAGGTGGAAAATTAAAGTGAGTTATTGGTAGTTTGAAGGGCTGAAGGTGAAATCTTACAAAATTGATTGCAGGCACATGTATTTTTTTCCCTTGGAAATCCCTGGTGGTAATATTTTCTCTTTCTGACTATCCTTTTACTTTATCATACTTATTATGTGCTTCTTCAGCTGTTCAATACATTCTACACCTAATTCACCTAGAACATCGGTGTGAAACCCGTGGCATCAGGTTGCTGTCATGTGACATTTCATGATGTTTTTCCCATTCACGGAGCCGAGGTGGGCTTGGCCTGTGCATGATGCATCCGGCCCGCGTATCACCAGTTTGACCCCTGACCCAGAATAACACAAACTATTCATCCAGTTCTCCATTTCCTTGTTTCTTGTTTGATGGTAGAAGGGCAATAAATAGAGAGGCCCATTCATTGATAGATGACTTTACAGAAGCCCAGAATTATAGTATATCATGCCAGCCCTGATAACAATATATCGTCTATGGTTACAGAGATTTAAAACTATAGCGAAAATGGTGTTTGTCCCTGTGGATACTTCAAACTATTTTTAATAGATAAATCCAATAAACTCCAAAATATCTTTTTGCTAGTTAATCTAGTTTTTAAATATTTACCATATTTACATTCTCTATTCCAATTTTTTTTTTAATTATAAAAACTATTTTTTAAAAATGGTGATATTACTGGACAGTTTATTTAGCCTCTATTAAAGCCTTCAGAGTTACTGGAGTTTCAGAGGTTGCCCAAAGGTCTACAACCTAGAATAGAAAGCTTATTTCTTAAATTGGTTTGAGATTGGAGTTGATACTCAAAGCCCTATGCAATGCTCTAGAATTAGGGAGGTATGTTTTCACACTCTGCATGTGTATTGCCATATGAGGAAGGCCTTTGGACTCTTCCAACTTCAAACGAAGTCTCCTGTGAGTCAGTATCAACTCCAGTGATCTCGCAGACATGTCTATGTTGTTTTCT